TGTGTGTGTGTGTGTGTGTGGCAGGGGGGTGGGGTAAGGGTGGGGGTGAGGGTCGTTGCTCAGGGGGGAGTCTGCTTCTCCCTCTTCCTCTGTCCCTCCTCCCTGCTTGTACTTTCTTTCTCATTCTGTCTCAAATAAATAAATAAAATCTTAAAAAAAGAAATTTATCCTCGATATGAATGTGTTTTCTGAGATCTATGTATTTGTGCATACTATGATTATATCTTACAGGTACATACATATTGCATGCATGAAAAGATGATTTATGTACAAGATAATTATTGTTGGAGTTAAAGATTGGAAGCAGCCAAAATGTTCATCCACGGCAACTGAATAAATAGATTGTTACATCTGTATATTGGAAATTGTGCCGTCAAAAAATTCCAGGGAATCTTTATGTATTGTTTTGGAAAAATTGCCAGCATATGTTTAGTGAAAAATGTAAGGTACATAACAGTGTATATCATATGTTTATTTGTGTTGAAGTGTTTTGCTTGTTTATGAATAGTTACAGCCTCTGGGGAGGGTAATTTGAATTTGAAGACACCTCCACCCTTCTCAAAAAAAAAATGCATTTAGAGCACAGTGCCTTACATTTAGCACTTACTGCATGTTCGTGGTGGTGACTTTCATTTTAATTATAGGGTTCCTTTATCTCATGAATTGATTTTTAACAGTTGGGTCTGGAAGAGGAAACCCATCTTGCTATAAATGCTGCTTAATAAGGATCATACTCATGTTATTCATCACAAATGCTCAATGTGCTTCCTGAAGTATGTTTCTTGGAGGATGTCAGTACAAATTCTGCAACCGAAGATGTCAAATATGATTGGGGAACGTTGGATTAAAACTAACCAGGCTTCTTTCCTGTAGGTTTTCTTTTAGCCTTAATACATATAATGTGCTTTGTGAATATTCCAGAAGGATATTTAGAAGGCAGTGTTTTCCAAATTTATTTGAGGGCAGAGCTTTAAATGGCAATGGTTACTACTTTTTTTTTTCTTTAAGAAGCATCTTTTGAGTAGTTGTCATTTTGGGAAACAGCACTTTAATACTTAGATTTTTGTTTTGTTCACCTTCATTGTTCATTTTAATAAACTTCTATTTTTGATTCATTTCTAAGATGCCTGTCGTCTCTCCTGGCCTGCTTTTCCTTCTCTGTGAGGTACTACAACTCACAAATTTGTTTCCTGGTTGAGATCTTCCCAAAGTCATTCAACTTACACTGGGTTTCTTGGAGTAAAGAAGAGACTCTATATAACTGGTGTAAAATCTCAGGGATTGATTGAATGGAAATTGAAGATTGCAGCTTGATTTGATTCCAGTTTTCCCAAAGCTTCAAAAGTTTTGCTCTTCAGGGGAAGGAATAAAATCAACTTAATGGGTAGAAGGGTTGAGGAATTGTGAGCTTAATGTGGAGAAGATAATATCATTGTGGGTCAGAAGATATGGGATCTTTTTCATTTTCCAGCTATTTACTTTTTTTTTTTAAGATTTTATTTATTTATTCGTGAGAGACAGAGAGAGAGGCAGAGACATGGACAGAGGGCAAAGCAGGCTCACCATAGGGAGTCTGATGCGGGACTTGATCCCAGGACCCTGGGATCACAACCTGAGCCAAAGGCAGACGCTCAACCACTGAGCCACCCAGAAGCCCTTCCAGCTATTTACTTTTGAACAGGCCTCTTAGCTTTTTGTGCTTCATTTTTATCATCTGCAGGGATTGGGTTTAAGTTCATTTTAAGGCTGAGTTATTATATGCTAAATGGAATCAATGAAGATTGTAGGACCATGTAGAGTATTTTTTTCTACTCTATAGTTTTCACATGTGAATGTAATTTATCTCAGGTCAGCTCTTTTGGAGAATGAAATTATTCAGTAATTAGCACATAGTCAGTTGCATGTATTTGAGTGAACTTGTTGAACTTTTTTTGAGACTTCTATTTTGATTGATTGATTTAATTACCCTCTAGGAAAGCACTTGATTATAACAGAGGCCAATTAATATAGTGCTATGGATAAATCCACACCTCCTGTGTAAATCCCTGCATCTGTTTTACTGATTATAGGGAGAAATTTATGATGTGGATATTAATTATCCCCCCTCCCCAGTGTTCATTTGGTTGTTTTGCCATGCTTTTTGTGTACTCCTGCTTATTAGCAGATTTCTGAACTCAGCATAGCTGAAGTCTAAATTCATTGAATTTATGCCATCTGGAAATGAGCTTTAAAATTTGTTCTTCTGTTGAAATTAGGGATGTGACATAGAGCTGTTACACAGGAGTGTAAGCCTGAATTTGATTTCATTATATGGAGGTAGGGTATTTTGTTAGAAGTAGAGCACTTGCCTGAGCAGAGATTGAGTGTGACTGAGTTGTTAACTGCCAACTTCCCCTGCCTTTTTAGTAGGAGAAATAGTTTGTTTTTAAATGAGATGACAACCAAGAGAATTATCAAGACTTCGTGAATTTTAAAAAAGTCCTTTCAATCTACTCGAATTCTGTTTAACCTTGCTTTCGATGTCATTCTGTGCATTACTGTCAAAGGACTCGGCTTCCTTTGAAGTTCCAAAGTGTTGCTGCTGGCGGAATCATGATGGTGAAATATAAGTGGTTCTCAGTACAAGCCCTTACTGATACACAGCAATGCCTTATTACCTAAGTAAAAGCATATGAGTGAGTGCTTAAAAATGTTGCGTGTAAGGAGAGAATATATGATAATGGACACTAAGATGGGAGAAGTATTTCTCATGAATTAGAGATGCCCTTTCATAATTCAACAGTCACAGGATGAAGAAAGGCTCGAAATCACCTGAAAAGCATCTGTAAGCAATCTGTAATTCTTAAGAGGCAAGTAGAAGAGCCTGTATCTCTCCAGTACTCGATGATAAAATGCTGGGTTTCTGGAAAAAGTAGCATTCCATTCCTTGTCAAACCTTTTGCAATTAAATGCCCAAGATTTGGTTATAAATTTAACTATGTTGTTCCAGATGCTTAACAAATGATTAATTGATTAGAGTGAAGAAGGCAGATTTGAAGGTACTGAAGATTGATTGATTAATTGCTTGATTTTAGAAAGTTTGTGCATGGGATCCCAGGATGGGGGTGTGGGGTGAGGGGCAGAGGGAAAGGGAATGAGAGAGAAGATCTTCAGCAGGCTTCACACCCAGCACGGAGCCTGATGTGGGGTTGATCTCATGGTCCTGAGGTCATGACCCCAGCCCAAATTAAGAGTTGGATACTCAACTGATTGAGTGACCTAGACATCCCCAAATTTTGATATTTTTAAACAACAAAAATTCAACTGAACACATTTAAAGACCAAATTGGCCTTTTTCAACTGATTTATGAATTGGGCAGCATCCCATCTAGCAATCGAAAGGAACTTCACAGTGCTATAGAAGAAGAAAGGTTTTTAAAGGCAGAAAAGGGGGTCAGGAAAAGGAAATTATTAACAAAGAATACATTGTTTCAGGCAATATTGTCTTCCTAAGGGAGATGGAAGGGGTCTGTTAGATGGATTATCTCACTAGTGCTGTTCAGCTAATTCCATATTGACTGGTTGAAGGTTACATTCCTGGGGGGATGGTGAAGGGTTGAAATGTTGTTAGGTTAGGTATTAAGTCTTGTTTGCTGACATGGGATTTAGCACAAGTGATTCCATTTATGGGCCTGCTGTCTCCTTTTTAAGGATATGAAGAATTTGTTTATTTGCATATAAAATGTTACCTTTTATTCTTCATGTCTCATGCTCACTCTTCTTGTGCCTGGTCATTACAACCACTCTGCCCAGTTTCAAAGATTTAGGCCATACTGAGGTCTCCCTTCCATGATCCCCCATTTTTTTCCCCTTTCATTAAGCATTTTTTATAAGAAAAGGTATTACGTTTTAAGTCTTTGAGGCATTTGTAGGTCATACTCACATACAACCTAACAGTGACTTCTGGAAAACCATCTTTTAATATATTGGAATGTTGGAGAAAAATTCTTGCATTAATACATGGCTCATCTTTGTTACACAGAGATTTTGAAAAGGTGTATTTGTTATACTAGGCTCTGATTTGAATTACCTTAACTCGTCTAAGTTGGGAACGTAGTTTACTTAATATTTATAACTATATCGGAACAAATTGCATCTTATTTTTTGCTTTTGCATAAGCAGTTGTGATCATATGTAATTATAACATTGTACTCTACTTTTTCTTTAAATAATAAGTGATATTTTCCATTTTATTATGAACTCATGAAAGTTTTTACTGGCTGACAAAATCATGGTTAAGTAAATCATGCGTGTCAAATTTCTTAACTCTCCCCCAGTTGTTGGGCATTTAAATGTTTTCCATACTTTAAATTGAAGTGTGTGTGTGTGTCTTTTTCATTTTAATTCCAGTTTAGTTATCGTACAGTGTTATATTAGTTGCATGTGTTCAGTATAGTGATTCAACATGCCATATAATACCTTATGCTCATCAGGACAAGTGTCCCTCTTGATCCCCATTGGTGTGGTTTAAAGTGGTGGCTCGGGGGCGTGATGTCTGGGTGGCTCAGTTGGCTGAGCATGCGACTCTTGATTTTGGTTCAGGTCGTGATCTTGGGGTGATGGGATCGGGCTCCATGTCCAACTCCAAGCTCAACAGGGGGAGTCTGCTTGGGATTCTCTCTTCTCCTCTGCCCTCAATCTCTCTAAAATAAAGAAATCAATCTTAAAAAAAAAAAAAAAAGGAAGTCGTGGGGTTCAGAGCCAACAGCCAAGAAAGAATTCTTGAGACATCTTTGGTGCAAAAAGTTGGCTATTATTATAACAATAGCCTATTAAAGGGTGGAGACAGGACTTTTTGCTTATAATTTCCTTTATGATAGATAAAGGTAAGTGCAGTCTGAGGAGAATCCACTTCAGTGTACTACAAATGGTGGTGAAAAGGAGGGGGAAAACTAGAGAATCTTAATCTGGGTTTTATAATTTATTAATGATTGCAGGACATTTTTTATTCCTTTCTATAGATTTTGAAAGTCTTCTGGGAGTTTCCAGCAGTGCCAAGAGTTGGAGAAATCTTTTCTGTTCCTCTGATACAGTGAAATGAGCAGATACAGCCCAGCAGTAGGCTACTGAAGAGAGCAATCACAGGTAATGTCTTATTACTATTGAGATGAGTTTAGTGATATTCAATAACATGCTTTAAGAAAAAGCCTACTTGAACTCACATGTCCAAGTGAACATTATTTTGTTCAAAGTAGTTTAAGAAGCTGTCCTCTGCTCAAAACATTAAAATTTATTTGTTTATTTTTTGGAACAACATCTTGATCCTCTGGTCTCATTTTCTGTAGTGGCAAATCTCAACCCTGGAGGTGGGTATATTTGGGAAGTAGTCTAAACTCCTTTAGAGGTAGGGTGATGAATTTGGGGGCTCTGATATTGATTAAAAACCAGAAGGTTGGGATCCCTGGGTGGTGCAGCGGTTTGGTGCCTGCCTTTGGCCCAGGGCGTGATCCTGGAGACCTGGGATCGAATCCCACGTCAGGCTCCCGGTGCATGGAGCCTGCTTCTCCCTCTGCCTGTGTCTCTGCCTCTCTCTCTCTCTCTCTCTGTGACTATCATAAATAAATAAAAAATTAAAAAAAATTAAAAAAAAAAACAGAAGGTGCAATAATACAATGAAAACAATTTTCCTTTCTGTAATTTGTGTATTTGAAGTCTTATACACTGTATTGAAAGTTAATTCTAAAAAGAGATGACTCTAGGTTTCAAACAATGGTAGTATTGTTAAAATAGGCAATAGGGTTTGGAGCTTACAGAGAGACGCATGTGCTATTTATTTGGCTATGTAAATGTTAGCACTCTTTCTTATTAAAATCAGTCAGTCTGTCATCACTGTAGAAAGGGCTCCTGTATTGATGAGGTTAAATAAGATGAGATCTAAACTTCCTTATAAGGCTGAGCCATTGTAATTTGCATGTTACTGGTGGTGTGTTTTGCACTATTACTTCAAGTGTTATTAGAGTGCTTGTTAAAGATGCACATTAAAATTCAAATTATTAGGCCCCAATCTAATGGGTCAGAATCAGAACTGTACGGAGAAGAAAGTTTGGGAATCTGCATTTTACAAGTACCATCAATGATTGACACTCTCAATGTAGTAAAATCATACTTCTGTCTCATCTCATCTTTGTATTTTTTTATGTAAAGGTGTTGCATAGTTATTTCCTTGATTTTTGCTTTGAATAAAACAACACAGGACTGTGTTCTCAAGTTGCTTATTATTAGATCAAATTGAGAATGTAATTGAATAAAACTGTACTTTGAACTTTATGTCTAAATTCAAAACGGATATATTTTTTTTTCCTTAGATGCAAATGGATAAATCTGTTTTTGACATCTAAATGCCAAATACTAAATTTTATGAAATACCTGCTGTTCAAATTTGCTAATAAGTTGTACCTTAGCTCTCTTACTCAAATGTGGATGGTTAAGAAGAGTGGGTGGGCATCAGAGGTCCCTGGAATTTATGCTACAGTCAGTTGCATCCAGCCCAGAATTTTCCTTTCTTCTTCTTTTTTTAAAGATTTATTTATTTTTTGTTTTAGAGAGAGAGTGCTCGAGACAGTGGGAGGTGGGGAAGAAAGAGAGGGAGAGAGAAAATCCCAAGCACACTCCCTGCTGAGTGTGGAACCTGTTGCAGGGCTTGACATGGGGCTTGATCTCACAATCCTGAGATCATGACCTGAGCTGAAATCAAGAGTTGGATGCCCAACTGACTGGGCCCCAACCCAGCATTTTTCAGGAAACATCATGTGGAAAGTGTTGCTGTGTAATTTGTGATTCAAACAGAAAAAATACTGTGTAGTGTCCTGAGATTTTGTGAAGCTCTTTGAACCCCTCAAATGAAAGGGAGTATTAACATGAAATGAAATAGTAGCCTTTGATATGAAGTTATTTTCATTACCATGGATATTCTTTAGTAATGGTTCCTATAAATTCATTAATTTTAGGGAATGCGAGCCTTGTGTATAAAGTGTCATTTTTTAGTTATTTTCAAGTGTACAGATTATACCTTTACTTTAAAAGATACAACTATTCTGTGCATGTTGATATTGAGAGATAATGCACTTTATGTAAAATAAAAACGTGACTGTAGATTTCTAAGTAAAGGCTATTACCTTGAGAGGATTGTTTCTTAAAATATTTAATTTATTGGTATGAAGTCTTCCATTAAGTTTATACTTAAAAACTGTGTTAAAATGCACAACATAAAATTTACTGTTATTACCATTTTTAAGTACATAGTTCAGTATTGTTAAGTATGTTCACGTTGTTGTACAGCTGATCTCCAGAATGTTTTCATCTTGCAAAAATGACGCTATACTGAACAGTAACTCCCCATTTACCCCTTCCGTCAGCCCTTGGAACGACCATTCTACTTTCTCTCTATGAATTTAACTCTTGTAGATACCTCCTGTATGTGGAATCCTACTGCAGTTGTCTTTTTGTTACTGGCTTATTTCATTTAGAATAACATTTACCGTGTTGTAGCATGTGTCAGAACTTCCTTATTTCTTAAGGCTGAGTACTATTTTACCACATTTTGTTTATCCGTTCATCAGTTAATGGACTTTTGGGTTGCTTCAACTTTTTTTTTTTTTTAAGATTTTATTTATTTATTTATTCATGAGAGACACAGAGAAAGAGGCAGAGACATAGGCAGAGGGAGAGAAGCAGGCTCCCCGTGGGGAGCCCAATGCGGGACTTGATTCCTGGACCCCGGGATCATGACCTGAGCCAAAGGCAATCATGCAACCATGGAACCACCCAGGTGTCCTGAGTAGCTTCAACTTTTTGGCTATTGCAAATAATGTTGCTGTGTACATGGTATATAAATATGTATGAGTCCCTGATTTCAGTTATTTTGGCTGTCTATATCTAGAAGTAGAATTGCAGGATCAAATGGTAATTCCATTTTTGATTTTTTGAAGCCCTGTTTTTCACAGCAACTACATTATTTTACATTCCCATAGTTCTGGTTTCTTTACATCTTTACCTACACTGGGTTGTTGTTTTGTTTGGTTGTTTTTGATAGCAGTCATCCTGATGGGTTTGAGGTGGGATCTTGTGGTTTTGATTTTCATTTCCCTAATGATTAGTGATGTTAAAGGTCTTTCATATGCTTGTTGGCCATATGTGTATCTTTTTTGGAGGAATATTTAGTCATTTGTCCATTTTTTAATCGAGTCATTTGTCTTTTTGTTGTTGAGTTATAGTTTTTTTAAAACATATTCTGATATTAGCCCTTTATAAAATATATGACTTACACATATTTTTTCCCATTCTGTGGGCTGCCTTTTCACTCTTTTTTTTTTTTTTTTAAGATTTTATCTATTTATTCATGAGAAACACAGTGAGAGAGGCACAGACACAGGCAGAGGGAGGAGCAGGCTCCCTGTGGGGAGCCCGATGTGGGACTGGATCCCAGGACCTCAGCTGGTGAGCTGAAGGCAGACACTCAACCACTTAGCCACCTGAGCATTCCTCAGTCTGTCCTTTGGTGCACAGAAGTTTTAAATTCTGTTGTAGTTCAGTATGTCTATTTTCACTTTTGTTGCCTCTGCAAATCAATGTCATGAAGTTTTCCTTCTCCCTGTGTTTTCTTCTAAGAGTTTTATAGCTTTAGCTGTTATTTTAGGTCTTTGATCCATTTTGAGTTAATTTTTGTATATGGTGTAAAGTAAGGGTCTAACTTCATTCCTTTGCATGTATCTGATTTTCCCAACACTATTTGTTGAAGTAAAGTTTATGCTTTTTTTTTTTTAATTTTATCTATTTATTTGAGAGTGAGAGTGAGCATGAGTGGGGCAAGAGACAGAAGCAGACTTCCTGTTAAGCAGGGAGTCTACTCGGGGCTCAATCCCAGGACCCTGAGATCACAACCAGAGTGAAGGCAGCCATTTAACTGACTGAGCCACCCAGGTGCCCCAGCAAAGTTTATACTTTTAATTAATCAATAAATTAATTTTAAAGGTTTTATTTCTTTGAGAAAGAGAGTAGAGCAAGAGAGAATATAAGCAGGGGGGGAGTGCAAAGGGAGAGGGAGAAGCAGACTCCCCACTGAGCAGGGAGTCCAATGCTGGGCTCAATCCCAGGACCTCAAGATCATGACCTGAGCCAAAAATAGACTTTAACCATCTGAGCCACCAGGCAACCCAAAGTTTATACTTTTAAAGACAGTTTAAGGAGGTTAAAGAAAAAAGCAAAAGATTATAAATGGCTGTGTTGTATCTATATAGGAATTCCCAGAAAGTCCTCTGTTTGTAATTAAGAAGACATTTGAGAAACAAAAGGGTACTGCATAGATTTGAAGCCCACTTCAGACTGAGATTTAATAAATATAGGTTGGCATAGAGCCTGTGTTTAAATTTTGCTTGTTAATTGGTAGGCGGTGACTTCTTATATTTGGGCTTTGATTACTGTAAACTCTGAGTTTTGTTTTTTAGGTATGGGTGTGTATGTGTATGTGACCTATTACAGAGTTTTTCCCAATTAACTCTGGCCAATGAGGGATCTTCTCATGTTTTAGGGAGCTTCGGTTTCAAGATAATGAACAGCATCAAGTTTTTCGTGGTAAAGAATAACCAGTACTAAAAAAAAAAAAAAAAAAAAGAATAACCAGTACTGAATCCTGGGAAAAACCTTTAACCAGCTCAAACCATTCACCTGTCTGTGTAGCGGAAGTTATTTGGAACCTGTTTTTGCCTCTTAGCTGTAAAAAGCAGTATATGTGTTGACAGAATGATATTTACACTGGTTTTGAAAAGGTCAAAACCCGGATATTGTATCCTTAGAAGTGAGGTTGTTTTTGGGAAGTGAGGGAGGGTATTGGGTGCCAAGTGGGAAGAATGTAAAAGCAAATATATGGGACTGAGAGGAAAGCCTGGGCCAGAGTACTTAGAAAGTAGAGGGAGCAGCTAGGTGGGTGTAGGAGTCACATGGCTAATGAAAGAAATGATAGCAGATACTAAAGGTAGCACAGCAAGTACCACAAATGAAATGGGTTTGAAAGGAGTTGGAGACAATATGATATAAAATGTGTCTGATGGTCCTGAGGAGATGCTGTCATTGGAATTCATCTGGAATTT